ACAGATTGCCAAACTTTTTCATCTATAGATTTCAAAAACGATCTTATCCGAGCTTTCCAAAAAGAATAATTGGATCCTTCAAGTAGAGGTGGTCGAACCATAGAATTTTCCTCACGGATTGAATCCATTATCACAAATTAAACAATATCTCGTTCTAAAAGATATATTTTTTTAAAAAAAAAATAGAACGACCTACTTTGATACCAATTGAAAAATCTATAAATCCCCTAGATGTTGATTTGTGATTATGTATCAATTTTAAGCAAAATATAACAATCCCAATCAAACAATCAAGACAAAACGACACAACGATTTTTCATGAAAAAATCACAATTGGACACCTCCAATTGTGATAAAAAAAACCACGGGCAACAGCCACAAAACAATCCATTAAGAAGATATAAAGGAATTATACAGGTATACTCTCAATTACCTAGCGAATCCACTCCCGAATTGAACCAACCTCTATGTGCCTCTTCCAACCCCGTCTTCACCTCGGAATTGTCTTGATGATGAGCCACTCCGGAATCCACCAAAGCTTCAGGCTCGAATTCTTCAGAATCTACCGAAGAACAACTCTCTCTTTTATGTAGAACAAACAAATAATCCTTTAATGTATACTGTTTAAACCATGAGTTGAATACTCAATGAAAACATCAAAGAAAACTAGCAAAATATCCCCAGATATAAACTTTAGAATCCAAAAAGAAGATCTGGAGGACTTGTCCAAGTATTAGGAGAAAACCAACTACTTATAGAAAACCAAAGTAATCCTACTTTTGGAAGAAAACCAATTCCTTATAGAAATTCAAGAATCTGTGTTCGCGAGGTCCGCTCGAGCGTGGGAATTACCACTCGAGCGGAGGCTTCAAAATTGTGTGATTCATATAAGCTTCACGCTTGAGCGGAAGTTGACATGCTCGAGCGCCGAATTACACCATCTGTACTTTTTCCAGGCGAAGCAGAGATGCTGTGAGCTTGCAATCCCCGCTCGAGCGTCACTTTCCCCGCTCGAGCGGGACGACCAAAATTAGAAAATCTGAAAAACTAGATTCTGTTACAACCTCGGTTTTGATCCATGAAAATTGACAAAGGCACAATTTGGGTTGGATTCGCATCTAAACACTCATAGCCTCACTGAAATAAAAATGCGAAAACAAATGCAACTAAAAGGAGTTTTGTCAAACGGAGTTGCCAAGAATAAAACCTAACACTATTGATAATAAAGTATGTATTTATGATTATTTGCATGTTTCTACTAGTAATAGTTCTTATTTGTGGCATTTAAGGTTAGATCACATTAATAAAAATAAAATGTCTCGAATGTTTAAAAGTGGCTTATTACCTAAAGTATGTTTCGATGATTTTGATATATGTGAACCATGTATCAAAGGTAAAATGACTAGCAAGCCATTTTTTAAACATTGAAAATCATAGGAATTACTTGAAATAATTCATTTAGACATTTGTGGCCCTTTAAGAACTAAAACTCATCGAGGCATGGAATACTTTATTACTTTCACTGATGATTATTCAAGATATGGACATATCTACCTTCTTAAACACAAATCAGAAGCAATTGACAAGTTTAAGGAATATAAAATAGAGGTAGAAAAGCAACTTGGTCGGTCCATTAAACACTTGAATAATGATAGAGGTGGCGAATATAAAGCTATGGATTCTTTTTGCAAGGACAATGACATAAAACATTTGTTTACAATGTCATACACACCACAACAAAATGGGGTCGCAGAAAGACGAAATCGTACTCTCATGGAAATGACAAGGTCTATGATGGCTCATGCTGATCTTCCTATTCATTTTTCGAGGAAAGTCTTGTCCACCGCTGCGTACATCTTAAATGGAGTCGAAACAAAAGCAAAACCTCTAACTCCTTATGAATGCTGGCATGGAACTAAACCTAATGTTCAAAATCTCAAAGTTTGGGGATGTAAGGCACATGTACTTATTCCCAAACCTTTAAGGGATAAATTGGGAAGCAAAACTTGTGAATGCAAGTTTATTGGTCATATCGAAAATGGAAGTGGTTATCGTTTTTACCATCCCGAACGTGGATTAATAGAAAGTAGAGATGCTATTTTTCTTGAATCCACTGATCTTGTTACTCCTATTGAACAACTTGAATTGCTCTCTGAAGTATCTCAGGATTCTTTTCTTCATTCTTTCTCACACAGTCCACATATTCTTCCTGAACCATTTAATAGTGGGAGCAAATGCAAACTACATGACGTTGTTTTATCTGCTTCGAATCCTAAGATAAGTGGGAGTAAGTGAGCAAGACGTCCATATACGTCTTTGAAACATCATTATGTTTTTCAAGTCGAAGAACTTAATAATTTAGTAGATGATCCTACTAGTTATAAAGAAGCAATGAGTAGCAATGATGCTACACAATGGCTTGAGGCAATAAATGAAGAACTTGACTCGATCAAGAAAAATGATGTTTGATAATTAACCGATCTTCCGAATGGAAGAAAAGCCATTGGTTGCAAATGGGTTCTTAGAAAGAAATTCAAAGTAGATGGAAATTTGGAGAAATACAAGGCCAGGTTAGTAGCCAAGGGATTCACTCAACAACCTGGAATAGATTTCGTAGATACATATTCTACTGTTGCAAAATTTGCCTAAATAAGGATTCTAATGGTGGTAGTAGCCAGGATGGATTTGGAATTGTATCAATTAGATGTTAAAACAGCTTTTCTCAATGGAGAATTAAAAGAGGAAATTTATATGATGTAACCTGATGGTTTCCAGAACCAAGGCAACGAGGATAAAGTCTACAAGTTGAAGAAATCTCTGTATGGACTTAAACAATCTTCAAGACAATGGTACTTGAAATTCCACCAAGCCATTTTAAAAATGAGCTATGTTGTAAGTCCATTAGATCACTATGTTTATATCTGAAAAAATGATGACAAGTTAGCAATATTGTCTTTATATGTGGTTGACATATTGTTAGCAGGAAATTGTCCAAATATGATTATAAAAACCAAAAATTTCTTGGCATCTAGATTTGAAATCAAAGACATGGGTCTTGCAACCTATGTTCTAGGAATTAGAATTTCAAGAGATAGAAATTAAAAATTATTATATCTAGATCAAGAGAAATATCTAGACAAGGTGCTTAAAAGATTTAAAATGGATAACTGTAATTCTTTAAGTATGCCTGTTTACAAGGGACAAAGTTTTAGTAAAAGTATGAGTCTTCAAACTAAGTCTGACGTTGAGGAAATGAGAAATGTCCCGTATGCCCAGACAGTAGGCAGACTAATGTATGCTATGACAAGCACAAGACCTGACATTTGTTATGCAGTCGGATTGGTAAGTCAGTTTCAATCCAATCCAGGTAAGGAACATTGGCAAGCAGTTAAAAGAATATTCAGATATTAAAAAGGCACTAAAAATTTGAAATTATGTTTTAGTTTGTGTGATCTAGACATAAAAAGATACACTGACGCGGATTTTGAAGGAGATGTAGATGATAGAAAATCTACTAGTGGTCATGTGTTCTTGTTTGGTGGAACAACAGTTTCTTGGTTAAGTAAGAAATAGAGTTGTGTTGCAAAGCATATTATGGAAGCTGAATACATAGCTTGCAGCACAGTCGTTAGTAATACGGTCTGGATAAAACGATTTGTTAACAGTTTACAATTAGGTATACCTGTCAGACCGGTCAGTATGTTTTGTGATAATCAATCTGCCTCCTCATTAATAAAAAGTGGAGCAAATAGCTCTAAGGGAAAACATATTGATGTTAGTTACCACTATATTCAGGACATAGTGGAGAAAGGTGAAATTAAAGTCAACTATATACCCTCAGAACAGATGGTGGCTGACCCCATGACCAAAGGGTTGTCTCTGGAAAAACTCAGAGAACATATAGCTAATATGGGATTAAAAAATACCTAGCTAGGTGATTTGGCTACTTATATAACAGCATAGTCGGATGACTCTGGGGACGCCTAGATAACCGATGTTTTTGCGACTCTATCTTGCATGGAAACATGTGTTTGGTCAGGTAACAAGATAGAGGAACTGACAAGGTACGAATATCATAGTTAGCATGAGATGTAAAGTCCATAATATGCAACGTGCAAACTAGGTGATATTGTCTGCTTGATCAGCAAAAAGTCATTGATAAAGTGTGTTAAGGAAAACCTTCGGGAATGGGTCTTAAATGAAGTATTTAACAATAATTTCAGTGCAGGTCGACACATGAAAAATGTGTACGACTGAAGTCGTCAATGGTGATTGGGTATGGACTATGAACCCATCACTGAAAATTGATGCCGTTCACTTGTTATGCAGTGAATTGAAGTCATCTGGAATGTGTTGTCAGTGGGAGAACACATTCGTACGGGTGCGGTCAGATTGGTGGCAAAAACATGCGCACGTATGGCCAAGTCACAATCAGACGTCGATCTATGAGGTAATTTCATAGATGAAAGTTGGCATAAGACAAAATTTTGGTACCAAGGTAAACATGCTAAACTCAGGTTTGTCACCTCATTATGATGTGATCAAGTGGGAGATGTTAGATTAAGTGTGACCATACCATAATGTGGTGTGCCTCTCCATATTGAATCGAATCTTGATATAGGTAATCTGGAAACTTTCCCGCAAGGGAATTGAATGATCTGGGAACAAAAACAGGGTGTTTGAATTTGAACTCTAAAAGACACAATGCTTCACATCTTATTTGAAGTATTGTGACCATTGCCAAACAAGTAGTGACTCTTAGCAATGGTGGCCAAGATACTTGTAAATAGTTGACATATTGGATTCACTGGATTGCATTAAAAATTAACATACATTCACACCCTATTTTATCTTCAGATTGTCAATTCCATCTTGCGTGATAAATATCCTCACGGGATCACCGATCACTTAGCCATTGATTGTTCATCTTTCAGCTTGGAGTGCAATAACAACAGTTGTGTTAGGAGCACAAAAAAGTTTCACAAAACTAGTTACAAAAGTAAGACAAAGAAGTGGGACTCACCCCAACCACTCCCAACTCATTCTCTTAATACTTTTTGGGATAAGAAAGTAGCAGGGATAAGAGAAATTAAAATTTGTAGATCACAGTAAGAAACAAATGGTGCACTGGGTACACAAGATACACCCAACATCACAAAAACTCACTTGTCTTATGCTGTTTTCTAACCCTAACTACATTTTTGTGATCTACCCTCATCTGTACAATCTTCTAAATCTCAATGGCACCATCCACTAGAAAATAATAAAAATTATTATATAAGGAGACCCCAAAAAAAAAAAAAAAAAAAAAAAGATTTGCACAAAACATACTAACATGAGAATATGCTGCGAATGGTCTTGGTTGCAAGTCATGCAGCTTCAACTACAGTTTGAACTTGCAGAGATCCCTTGCACAGTCAGGAGGCAATTTTTTGCCAGTTCATGACATTTTGTCCCCGACCAAGAGATTTTAATTCCGCAACAAGAAAAAGGATCTAAGGATTTCATCGGTATAGCTGGATTTTTGTTCAAGCCTTTTGAAATGAGCGTGAAGAAACACCATGCAGAAGTCTGACGAACCCCAGGAAACTAAGCTTCCCGTCTGAGTGACGTATCCAGTCTTGGAGAACGACATGAACTGGTACTGATGGGCTAAGTCCAAGTTCCTAGTGGCAAACAAAAAATTATAGTCATTTCAGAATTTTGATCCATTTGGAGTAAGTGTGATAATAACAAGGATAGATTCTATTAGCACACTTCCATAGATGAGACTACACAGGGGGAAAACAAGAAAGACATTTACGAATCTTACTACTGTGCAGAGCAAATTCTAGATAAAATATTGCAAAGATATCAATTCATGGTGTTCTTAGTAGTCAAAAAATAATAATTTAAAACTGTCAATATTAATATAGTAGTAGCATATCTATAGTCTATGAAGCAAGGGCAATTGTAAGAAGGTAATGTGCTGTGTCTGACACTGACAAGACATGACACGACATAAGTTGGACACTTCCCAACACTTAGACACACATAAAACACATTACAAATTTGCATAAAATAATTTAGAATCCAATGATAAAACAAAAATAATGTAAATTTATATATATTCCCTTCTGTTACACTTAAAAAATCATTATCTTTAACTTAAATATTCATATATATGACATAAACTAATTATTTATCTTTATACATGATATAATAAATATATAAAATTATATATTTTGCAAGTGTCCTTCACGTGCCATGTCCTACATATTTAGAAATTTTCTGGGGGGCGTGTGCATGCTTCTTAGTCTACATTCATATTTGTCAATAGAGGCATAGAGCTAGATGATTTGGATTCAATTGGTCATTAAGGTATGGAAAATGTAGTATGATCGAAAGGTTAAAATCATTTAATTGTTATAAATTTTTTAACAGAAGATTTTTCTCCTACATGGGCATTTAATGATGGATCTGATCCTGCAGTACTTATGACCACTTCTGTGCTTGCACCCATATGGAGAAATCCATTTAACTACAAACATATACATATGTATGCATATTATATACTCACAAGTCACAACCAGATTACTAGGATAAAGAAAAGACCCCACAGACCCTCATGAGTCATGGGTACTCAAAGAAACAATGAGATGAGAGGGAGAAAGAGCATACTGAAGCTAGTTCCTCTATCATAATAGGTCTATTTCCATCCTTCTCAAAAAGCTCATAGGCACGGCGTGCATGTTGCTCCCAGCTTTGCATTCCTTCCAGCTGATGCACGCTGATGGCTGCAGCACAAAATTCTTCGAAATCCATCTTTCTATATTGGAGAGTACTCACCTGCAAAGTACGTAATCTAAAATTTAAATACAAGAAGAAAAGAAAACAAAAAAGAAAAGTGGTCTGAGAAACTGTTACCATGTTTGCATAATCGAAAACCCGTGAATCCTTCATGGCATCAGTGGAGTTCTTTGTCACAGCCTGCTAAGTTCAACATTGTTCAAAATGACTTGGTAAACAAGTAAAAATGGGAAAACAAATGAAGTGAGCTAAATGGTAGCAATAAAAGAAGAAACAAAAGGGGGTTTTCAGAGAAATAACCGTTTTAAAATTTTGCATAAAGATAAACCCACTCTTGTTTGGCCCCAATAGTGTAAATTGTTCCCGGAGATAAGCTAGCTGAGGCACACTCAGTGTCTTAGCAAGGGCCTGTCACAAAGGTGAAATTTTCATCAATGCAACATGACAAGGCACAAATACATCGAAATAATTAATTCCTCAAAAACTAGGATTACATTTAGAGTAGTTCTATTTGCACACCACCATTTCCCCCTTTTTTTATTTATTACATTTATGTCCCTTGAGCAAATTATCTTTTTGGACAAAATTCTAAAATCTGATCTTCTCAGTACAAACCCTACACACCGCCATCACCACCGTGAAAGCCAATCCGCACTCCTCCAGCCACTAGCCATCACCACCATGACCCTCATCCCTAGCCACCATCGCAGCCCTCACAGCCCTCTAACCCCACTGCGCCATCACCCCTCACCCCGTGACCACCACTGCTGCAGGCCCCACTCCTCATGACCCCCAACCTACACATTTATATATATATATATAGAGAGAGAGAGAGAGAGTTAAGGTTTCCGAAGGAGAAAAAGAGGAAGAAGGAAGAGCAGATGGAAGTGGCAGTGGCAAGGGGTGGTGAAGTTAGGGTTAGGGTTAGGGTTAGGGTTAGGGTTTGAGATTGGAGAAGATGAGAGTATTTTGGTATTATTTGAATATATGCATGGTGTGAATTGAGAAGAAATAGAAAATTTAAATTTGAGTGTGGTGTGTAAATGAAATTAACCTTACATTTATGGCAAGTATATGTAAAGGTAAATGGATATGCACAATTAGGTACCTTAGCATTTCAATAAAACCTTTCCCGTATCTTCAATTTTAGTTATGCTAAGAATATTTACTAGATATTATAGACTTTTAATTTGATTTTTATTACAGTTACTTTCGTTCTCTATTAAAAACTCAATGTCCAAGTATGCTCATCATGTTTCGGGATTGTTGCAGAAATGTCAATTACATAACGGATTTTTGTTGACTACTTGCCCAAGAGAGTCCACTGAACATCAGTTCTCAGCTAATGATGTGTTGGGGTAAGGGTATATTGTGTCAGACATGGAGAATAGTCAAGGCAAGAAAATGGACAATAAACAAAGTAACAGTAACAAAGTGAAATGAAAAAACTAATTCAAGCACCCATATTGTTTACCATTTGGAGCAATTTTAGATAATCCAAATTCTTAGTGTTTTATGACTATTAAATAGTTTGTGCGTAACTCCTTTGCAAAACTTTCAAACATATCGAGTTTCTCAAAGGCAGTATAGCATACCCCCAAAGCTGCTTTTCTTAGTGAAGAAGAACATATGTAAGCTTTTACAAGCTTGTATATTATCACATCCAAAGGAATCTTGACATCATGATCATTCACCAGCCAAGGATGACCTAAACATGAAAAGCAGAACACAAGCGTTAGAACTGTAAAATGAATTTTTAAATAATTTTGAAACTAGTTGATGAGTAATGATGCAAGGCCATCCAACTTTATCAGCCAAACTGGAAAGAAAGAGAGAATGGTACGGTATTCATTTCTCATTTCTTTTTAAAGCTCTGTTTGTTTGGGCAAAAAACATTTTCTTCAGCATCTTTTGGCATTTGGTACTATGGAAAACGAAAGTCAACTGAAACATTATTCATGATCAATAGAAAACAAGCTTATTTGGGTGAAAAATGTGTCTCCACTTTTTAAAGGTGGAAAATGTTTTCCAAATTGAAGTCTTACCAATGCCACCACATCACCACCGCCACCGCCGCCGCCGCCGCCATCACCCCTCTACCACCACCACTCCTACCAACCCATTGCCACCTCCACCTCACCCTGCCGCCATCACCATCTCCCACCACCACTAATACAATACATTAGTTACAAAACATTTTTACGGAAAACAATTTTTGAAAAAAAAAAAAAATCATAGGTATTGTCTTCGGCCGAAACAAACAGAGTAATTATTATAACATGGTTTTGATGGGAAGAAAGAGGGGATCGTAAGGTAACTTACTAAGAGCCTGGGCAGCGGTTAGCCTCTTCCGGTAATCCTTGTTCAACAATCTCTTTACAAAGTCTATCGCATCAGAAGTCACAGAAGGCCAAGGGGCTTCATCAAAACTTGGGTCTGCTTTAAGGACAGCTCGAAAGATGCCAGATTCTGAGCGGGCCCAAAAGGGCCGACTTCCGCATAGCAGAATATAAGCAATTACGCCTATGCTCCACATGTCCGCTTCTGTTCCATAGGATCTATGCAGAACTTCAGGAGCTACATAATATGCACTTCCGACAATATCATTCAGTCTTTCATCTACACAAGCCTCTTAACTGTCAGATCTTAAGCCACAATTTCTAATATTAAAAAAAGAGAAGAATTGGGAAAAGGATTTGACCTGGCTTTACATAATCAGAGAGTCCAAAGTCGATGGCCTTTAATGGGGAGTTCTCATCTTTTGAAGTGAAGAGAAAATTCTGAAGCAAGATTTGAAGCCTCAAGATCAGTAAAAAGAAACAAGAGATATAATGAGAAGTGACATAATTTGGGAAGGAGAGTATCAATAGCAGTTATTCAGTCTACCTTGTATTTAAATAAATAATTTAGAAAGGAAAAAATATTTAGCAACAATCGGTATGTACATCAAGTCTGTTTATGGGAAGGGGAAAAAAAAAATAAATAAATAGCATAATAGGAAAAATGAATCATTCAAGATATACTATGAATAGCTGCTTAGTGATAATTTTTTTTTTATTTTTTTATTGGCACTAGGGTGTCCGGATCAAAGCTAAACTAATCCCCAGGAATGCACAGGCCCTTAGTTTCCCACAAGTATACCACAGTTAATTTAAAAGTTTTCCTCCAGTCCAATGGCCCCAAGGAATTGTTAGCACCTAAAAGGTTTCAATCCCTGAACCTCGGAGAGAGCACACCCCCAAGACCCAAGGCCTTGCCACTAGGCCAATCCCTTGGGGTTAATAGCTTAGTGATAATTTCAATTTCTATCTATATTTAAAAGAACAATTAGCAAACTTTAATGGGAAACTTTCAGAGTCTAATCAAAGCGTTATTTGTATTATTTGAAACTCATAATAAATCAGGAAATAAGAACATTCCAATCATGGAACTTTAGCAGTAAGTCTGTGCAGTGCCTGAACTATGAATGCTTATACCAGAATCACCAAATGCTTGTTGAATTATATGAGAAGGCCATCACTATAACCTGATTTTATAAAACTAAGTTGATGACATAGCATTTAGATCTTGGATTTGTGGATGGATTTGCAGAAGGAATTCTGGGGGGAAAGGAAAAGTGAAAAAAGTTAGCATCTAATACATTCACATTTCCCTTTCCTTTTATTTTCACTCCACAAATCCAAGATCCATAGACAGGCAAAATGTTTATAATATACCATATGATTCACTGTGCTACATGTCTTCACAACTGGTTAAATTTCCATATTATTCTTCTAACACCCATCAAAACATTTTCCTTACCATGCAAGTAAAATATAGCTCTTCACATGAAAGTGACAAGATCTTATAGTTAAAACTAATAATAATAATAAATACCAACAATAACAACAACAACAACAACAAAAAACCCAATAATATTATGCAACAAATGAATAACATGTGTAAAGCAAAGAGCTTAATCTGCGGTAGTACTTAATAGTTGCAATGCAGCATTATCCAACGAAATTCATAAATTGGCAGTTCAATACACTAAACAAAAATTCACAATATAGAGAGCAATGCACAAGAGGCTTGAAGCACCTAAAATCATGTAATAAGACTATAGGAATAGATCATATATCCTACAGGTATAACCTAGGGCTGTGTGAAAATTCTATCTGATATTATATTCCACAATTTCACTCGAGTAACCAATGCTGGAAATAAATGTTACACGGTTTCCTTCTGTAACAATAAAATCCTCCATAACTTGTGAGGTTTTTGAACAAAAGAAAGAAGATGACAAAAAGACAGTTCACCCCACAAAATCCAGACATGTTTAGAAAACATTTTAACATGGGGATGCAACTGTTGACAAAATAAGCATTTGACACAAACTAAATGGCAAAGAAAAAGAGTTAAGTCCCTTTCAAGCATACATCGTTGTAGTGCAACAAACTGCTTAAATGTAATATTTTCGAGGAGTTTCAAGTTTTATAAATTATCAATAAAAAAAGAAAATGTCCAAGTTCATTACCTCAGGTTTGAGATCACGGTGAACTACCCCCTGGAGATGACAGTACGCAACCACACTCAAAATTTGGACCATGACAGCCTTTGCATCCTCTTCTGAGTATTTTCCACCCCTAGAGAACACAAATCAGAAATTAGCTGCCAGAAGGTTGCAGAACAGGCCAAATACTGCAATAAAAGGAAAAAGGACAAGAAAATATGGTACCTAGAAAGTATTCTATCCAATAATTCACCTCCTTTACATAACCTGAAGAACATAAAACATGATACAGAGTAAGCTTCAAAACTTACTGATTCTTCACCATAAGGCCAAGTTTGGCATGTGGACAAAAAGCCAAAAAGCCAAAAAGTTACTCAAAAAGTTAAAAAGTTATCACTATTCACCAAAAGTCAAAAATTACGGCTGCACAACTCCCAATCCTAATTTATACAATTTTTTAATACACATTTTTCCATAAAAAGTCAAAAAGTTAACCCAAACAACCATATTTTTTACCTCAACTTTTTAGTCCAAAAAGTCAAAAAGTGCACTTATGTAGGACATCTCAAACAACCCTTTAAGACAGTTTTAAAATGGAAATATTTCTTTACTTGGGAGTCGAGGCATAACGAATAAACAAAGAGAAAAATGCATATGCCACTAAGCCCTCCCCGGCCATCACCACCCATATATATATCTCGAGAGAGAGAGAGAGGAGAAGAAGAACAAAAAGGTCAGGTGAACATTAATGGCCTACGAGTTTAATGCATTGACCCAGTTGAATATAGCTCTGTTGGCTCATCTTAGGCCTAGTTTGGGAAGACTAAATAAGTGCACTTTTTGACTTTTTATGAAATATGGGTTGGGTTTGGGTTGGATTTGAAGTGATGTGTTAGAGAGGTGATGTGACTTAAATAAGATGATATGACTTAAATAGGATAGTAACTTTTTGACTTTTTGTCTTTTTTCAATCATGCCAAACTTGGCCTTAGTTTCCCTAGAAAACATATTTAAGGTGACACGATAGAAAAGTAGGCCATGCCACAGTAATTTTACCATGAGTTACATGTAAATCAACAAAGATGATGTCAAGATTTTATTGGTTCTAGTTTTGACAAAATCAAACACCAAAAGTTTAAATGGACGGTTGCCACATGTACAAAGAGACAGTCAAGATATATATATATTTTTTTTTTCAAATTTTTTATGCCAATCATGTAAATTTGATGTTTTTTACCTGCTGGAAATTTTTCACAAAATTGCAAAGCAAATAACATAAAATTGAACAAAGTTTATTAGGATTAGTAAAATTTAGTAAGTCTACACTTACTCCATCACTACATAAACATTCTCATCATCCTCATAGCAATCGTAGCATTGCACTAGGTTCCTATGCCCTGTCAGAGCCTGTAATATTTTCACTTCTCGTCTTACATCCTCAATGGCAATTACTGTAGTCATCTGCAAAAATATTGTCCACTTTATTAGCATAAAACAAAGAGTTATATTGCTTTCTACACCATCTGTAGCTCAAAGGACAACCAAAACTATTGAATAGATAAGATTCTGATACTAAATACAAACACCCCAATCTTTTGGAAGAAAAAACAAACTTCCCTCATATGAAAATGACATGAAAGAAAATTACAAAGTAATATAATAGGAAAGACAACTAATAAATATATTATATCACTAGTCCGGATTAAGTTAAAAGCAGCATTAAGTCCAACGACATTAAAACTACAGAGAGCACTTAATGCCCATCAACATAGTTATGCTAAATTTCAAACCAAACAACTTTTCTTCTACGAAATCGTGCATGTATGATTATAAGTTATAACTTACCATAATCATACAACTTACTATTACAATGACTTTAATCTATTACAACCCAGCGATGCTATTGACAAACCAGAAAATTAAAGATCAATGACAAACTGTGCTTTTTATTCTGCTCAAGATCCAGCAAGGGCAACACTTGGTAGCTTCTCTGTATTTTAGCAGAATCAACAAGATCCATAATAATCCTGAGTAAAGAATAACATCAAGCATAGCCTATGATGGATCCCAAAAAGAGACTTGAAAGACCGATGATAATGTAAACAGTTGTAGAAGCAAGTACAGAATCAGCCAGAAATTCCGTAACAAAATCTAATATAAGATTAAAACAGCGATGTGAAACATAATGCAACCTCAAGGAGTAACAATTTCCAATAAATAGCATGTCTATGTAATGAAACTAACATGACATATACAAGCTAAAACTGAGTTTTTTTTAACAAAGCAAAAGAATTCATAGGGTAATTCCCCTACACAAATTAGAAAATTTTCAGAGAATTCAGACCTTCGATTTCGGAATAACCTTGACTGCCACATCCTGTCCCTTTAAGTTCCCTTTCTTTCCCTTCGCCGAACAAGTATACCCAAAATGCCCACGCCCCACCTCTTCCCCTAGTTCATAATGGGTCATGAATTGCTTAGAATACCCAAAATTCTTGTCCAAACCCATCTCAACCTCCCTTCCTTCTGGTATTGAGGCCTCATTAGGCTTGACTGAACCATGCCTACGAGCAAGCAATGCCCGAATATGCTTTGCCGGTGAAGGTGGAGGAAATGGGCGCTTAAAGATGCGCAGAGGGGTAGAACTGACACCGGAATAGGCAGGTGAGTTCTTGAACACACTGGCCAAGGGACTTGGGCTGTAAAATGGGAATTTTGATGATTTCCCAGTTTTGGAATTCAAACCCGGCTCATTTTCTCTGGGAATTATTGTGTTTTCAGATTGGTTTTGTGAGTTCTCAGTGGGTTTTCCATGACAAAGTCCCATGGAATCAGAAACACAACTAAGAATCGGAATCACAGAAACCCAAGTAAGAAAAAGAAAAAGTGTGTCAAGAAACAATTACAAAAGCTCAGATGGTTAAACCATTGAAAGCGGTAAAGGACTAAAAATTCAGGGGATTCAAAGCTCAAACAGAGAAATGATTATTAAACAAGAACTGAAACTTGGATCAAAGTGATGAATTCCAAGAATCTAACTGAAACCCATAAAACGAAGAGAAAAGGGAAATCCAAATTGATCAACAAAAACCAGAAAAGATTAACAGAGAATTGGCCAAGGATATGAATTCAAAGAAAATTGTAAAGGAAAAGAAGAAACCCAACGAGTAAAATAGTATGAAAGTTCAAGAGAAGAAAGCAATTCAACTTTCTGATCAAACAAATACTGTCAGATAGGTAAAACCCATCAAGAATCCAGCATTTGAGTAATGGATTCTAAGCTGAAGAAGTGAAGGAAATAGGAGAGAGTGAAACAGAATAACAAGAAAACCCAAGAAAAATTTCAATCAAGAAGGTAAAGAAATGGGACTGAGAGAGCAAAGAGCATAAAAGTGAGAAAAATATGCTTAGCAGAGGCTGCAAGAAAAGAAGAGAAGGGGGTAAAAAGGAAGGGAAAGAAACCAACTCCCTTTTCCTTCCCTGCCTTTTCTAGCTTTTTCTCTGGGTGGTTTTGTGTGGAAATATATTTTTATTAACTTTGTAATGTAAATTGTTATTATTATTATAATTATGAATAACAACAATAACAATAATGATAGTGGGGTTGGGTTTTGGATCCTTCCAGCCTGTCCATATTAAGAGATAGAGAGAGAGAGAGAGAGAGAGAGGGGGATGTGTTTTCATATGAAATATTTGCCAACAATTTGACCTACCAACAATGATTCATCCCACTAAAAACATCACCACTAATAACATTAATATATTAAAAAAGTAAAAAAAAATAAAAAAAATACAATTTCAAGACCAAAACATCACATCATTAATAGCGGGACTCACTGCCACCTAATTAGTGGGAGCACTAATTAATGCTCCCAAGCATTTTTTCTTTGAGCTAATATGTTTGTGTGGTTTGAGCCCTGAACTTTGACTAGCTTTTGTGTGGTTTGAACAATTTATTTACAATTTTGTATAATATTTGGTTTAATTTTTTCAGGTTGATGATTTCCTAGCAGATTAGCCAAAGCGAAACAAAAGTCTTTCCACAAAATTTGAACATAAATAATGCTTTTATTTTTGTTTTTTAAGATCTTGAATGCAAGTACACAATGGCAAAGGTCAAATCACAATAAACTTATTTCGGACTTATTTTAATAATTCAAACAATTTATTATGAAATCTACACAAAATAAATCGTTTGGAAGGAGAAATTATCTAATTAGTTAATGTGTCTTTTCAATTGTATAGGATCATGTAACAAGTTTCTCCTTCATCAATCAATAATCAATATACAAATAAAGAGTAATGCTAGAGGGTGTTCCACACTAATGTCATGTTTATTTGGACAGATTGGATTAGCATTCTCATGACTAATAATTCTAGGATTACGAATCTGTTGGATTATGTATCCTATCTTAACTAATAGTCAAGTTTAAAATAATTAGTCCATATTTCAATTGTTTAATTAAACATCGGATTAATAATTTTATTAGACTATTAGTCCAATTCCAAGCTCATGTCCACCCAAACAAACATAACCTAAAATGAGAACAGGTTCTCTCTTTAGTTCTAAATTATCATAGTAGGGCTGCGTCAAATCGGGTCAAAATTTTTGAAATTTTATTATGAGTTTTACATTTATGAATATTTGTAAAATGTATAATTAGATGATCTCTTAATTTTATAAAAATCACTCTATTAACTTTCTATTATTTTATTAGTATTTCACAATGTATATTAAGATGATTTTTAATTATTATCATTTAGTTAATAGCATCAATTTTATAAAGTCAATTTTATTAATACAATCTGTATATGTCAGTTCTTTTTTAAAAAATTAAATATAAAATAGAATGTATATTTTTAATGAATAATGTTAGATAAGCTTAAACATTACTCCCAAAGAAATGAATAAACAAATCAATAAATTAACAATTGATACGTAGCAGTCCACATCATTTAATGTAAATTTAATGATCATGTTTTAAGAGTTTTAAGCATTTTTCAATTTTAATTTATTAGATGATATCAACCAATAAAATGGATTAAAATAGTGGTCTAACTAATTATATATTGAGATCAAATTAATAGTTCAAAATTTTTAAAAATGAAAAAATGGCTTGCTATCCTCGTTTTGGGACTAAACATTTTAACCAAAAAATTAAAAAGTCACTATAAATTATTACATCATTCTCTCTATTTTTCTACACATATTTTCATAAAAATTTAAAAAATTACTCAAATAGTTTGTTTCCAAATGAGATTTTATCACAATACATATATAAGAAATTATTTTCAATTAAAAAAATCAAAACTAACTAACTAAATTTTAAGGTTATTTACATATAGACTTCCTAAACTACTGAAAACTATCACTTTGATTTCCTAAACTATAAAAGTGGATCCCGTAACTATTGAGAAGTATCACTTTACACTCTAAACTATAAAAGTGTACAAATGGACTCTCTAAATTATTGTCGTGTTTTACTTTGACCTGTTCTGTTAGGGGGTTCAATTGATACATTTTTAATAGTTTAAGAGGTCCATTTATACATTTGTATAGTTTAAAGGATAAAATGATATTTTTCAATAATTTAGATAATTGATTTATAATCCCAGATTTTATGCACATACCTTGCTCCCCTAGACAATTTTTACTTCCACCATTGATTTAACTGTTTTTCTTCCATATTTGTTTTGTTCATGTTTTCATTTACCCAATTATGAAGAAAAATGCTTGGGAGTACTAATTAGTGCTCCCACTAATTAGGTGGCAGTGGGTCCTGTCATTAATGATGTGATATTTTGGTCTTGGAGTTGTATTAGTACTATTAGTGGTGATATTTTTAGTAGGATGAATCATTGTTGCAATTATGAAATGTCCATTTTTAAAATTCAGTACTTAAATGTTCACGATATTATTCATTTAAATAAATGTAATAGAGGGATGGTTTTAGAAAATATTTCTATTTATTTTGAGAAGTAGGTTGAAAGTTAAGTTTTTAAATTTTTTTGACATTTTTTTTTAAAAAAAAAAACGTGTAAAAAATAGAGAGGTGATATAATTCAAAAAATAAAAAAATAAAAAGTCAAAAAAACTAACTTTTAAACCAATTGTTAAAACATTTCTATTTATTGGACACGTAGATGCTTCTCATTAAAAAGATTAAATTCTTATAGTGAATAAAATAAAATAAATAAATAAGCCCAAAGACATTTATTGTTATGGTCCAAATTCTAGTATGGTTAAATTTCTAAGGAAGATAATGAGATATTTATTTATAAATCTCATTTAGTGAATTTATAATTCAATAAGTTTATAAAAAAATTTAGTATTTCATCAAGTCTCACATATTTAGACTTTTATAGTAGGCTGTCCTTTTTTCCTAATGTATAATTTTTTTTGGAACTATAATATCATTTTGTTCTTTTTTGATAATACGTATTACACGCAATAAGATTTATACGTTTCTATATTTTGTTATTTTTGTTTTGGTAGTTTTGGTGATCAGCGATCTTTGGAAGAATCAATGGATATATTTCCATTATATGTTTTTGTAGGGGTTTTTGAAACTTTGTTTTCTTCCGATGAGAGATCATAGGGATGGTTTTTCATATCTATTACAAGTTTTGAATTATTGGACAAAGGTTGACACCATTTTTGTTATTGTGGAGTTATCAAATTTTATTGTTTTGCATTTAATGATGTGAATTTTAACATTAGAAGCATGATGGTTGTATTATGTGCAATATAAACTAATGATTGCATCATTATTGTCTAATGTGAATGTTCACATATCATTGATTATTATATGAGTTTGCATGGTTTTTACACATATAATTGCTTGTTGTGGATTATCACATTGTAATGTGTTGCAATTGGTATTGTAATCATCATATCATCAATCAATGTTAATATTCACATTTAGGAATAATCATACAAACGTAAACAACAATGTGTTAATATTCATATTCAAAACTAGTCATACTAGCATAAACAACAATGTATTATTTTGGTCACAAGCATAGTGTGTACATGGAGATGTGAATGCTCACATTAATTCTGTAATACAAATAGGTAGTTGCACCAAATGCTAATATTCACACACTCACAAGGCTGACCTTGAGGTAAGACGGGCAAGGTTGCTGCCTTGGGCTCTCAAATTCTGTATAAAAAATAGGGCCTTGAAATAATTTCAATCTTAAGTTATGTTTGGTTTATTAAAAGTTTCACATTTGATTTACGAAAAAAGGATTACAAACGAAATCATCATTCACTATTGTGAGAGAATAATAATTTTATAAAAAAACTAAGAAATGATCATTCTATTCAATTCAATTTTATTCTAGTAAACCAAACACTATATTATAGTGTTAGTAGTTTGAAAATGAATATTTAAACAAACAATTGAATTGGTGAATTATTTAAAAATAATGGATGGTTGCTTACCAAATGTACAAATTATTTATAGAATATTGTTTGACTATATGAGTTACAATTGTTTTTGAAAAAATAATTTTTTTAAGTTGAAGTTTATAGCGACCCCGGTCTTTTCCCATTTGATTATTGTATCCGGACTTAGGTTCCGTATATTCTGTCATTGTATAATTGTTGTTGTCGTCCTTTGTTTTTCTCATTTGGAGTTATAGGATGTGTTGGGCAGGTTTGTTTCAGGTTGGTTGGGTTCGTAAACCAAGTGTTGCTGTCCAGTTTTTGGGTTGGTCGCTCGAGCCAGGGATTGGTCGCTCGAGCCAGGGTTGTATTTTGTGTCTTCTGGCTCGATCCAGCTTTGCTTCGCTCGAGCGAGCGAGGTGTATGTTTTCGGGTTCCTCGCTCGAGCGAGCATTCTGTCGCTCGAGCGTGCTGCTGGGTTGCAGACCTGAAGCATTGCATTCTTGGCTCGAGCGAGCTTGTCTTCGCTCGAGCGAGGGTTTCGTGTGTCTGGTCGCTCGAGCGACCAAGTGTTCGCTCGAGCGAGCCTGTCGGGGTTTTGATCCCAAAACCCTTGTTCCGAGTTCTCTCTTCCTCTACTCACCTTCTCTCTTAGGTTTCATCACCTTTTAGGGTGTTTCTACCCTAGTTGCTTTATTAAAAAGATAGAGTGAGTCGAGAGCTTTGTTTTAATCTGAGAGTTTGTTGTTTTGGAGCACTTGGGTTTTTGGGTCATCATCTCCGTCTTCTCCATTCGGGTTATCTTCTTCGAGGTAGGGATTTCCTACTCCATCTTATAAGTTTTGTTCTAAGTTTTGGTATAATGATATGTTGGGGTTACTTTGATAATTTTGGGAACAGCCCTAGTTGTTTTAATTAAATTAATTTGTATAATTAATTTAAGGAAATTGGGGAAATATGGTTAAATTCATGAAATCTATAAATTTCTCTGCTCTGTAAATTTCTCTGTAATATGTATTTTTAAT